AAATGTAATCCCCTTTATATAAAAAAAACACTTGTTGGGTGGATGAAGGGAACGCAGCAGACAGTGTACTTGAGCTTCAGTAAGGCTTTTGACAAAGTCCCACATGAACATCTCAAAATAATTCAAGAAACACGGGCTAGACAAAACAAGGGGGACAGAAAACTTGCTCAGTCGTCACAAGCGAAGGATAATTATAAAGGGATTCATGTCAGAATGACAAGAGGTTTCAAGTCTAGCAGAGTCCGTCCCCAAGTCTGGTGCTGTTTGACCTGTTTGTTGAGGATTCGGATGGTGGACTAGAGACAGTTTCTTGAATAAATTTGCAGACGATATAACTGGGAAGGACTGTAAAGACATTGGCGGATGGGAATGCAATTCAGAAGACTCCTGATAGATTGGAAAAATGGGCTAGAAACAACAGGATGAAGTTTAATGCTGACAAATGCAAGGTGCTAGATTTATTGAAGAATAATCAAAAACAGATACCAGATAGGTGAGAACTGGCTGGATAGCAGTAGCGCAGAGAGAGATCTTGCTGTCTTGGTGTACCAGCCTAAATGTGAAACTACAACATGATGCATGTGCAAAAAATATAAATAAATAAAAGCAGCAAGCAGCTTTGGACTGCATCAACAGCAATAGGTATAAAACATGGGATGTGATGTTGCTATCTACTCAGCACTCGTTAAACTCATGTGCAGTTTTAAGCTCCACATTTTAAAAAGGATGTGGAAAATTTAGCGAGGGTCTGAAGGCAAGCGACAAAAATGCTGGAGGGCTTGGAAGGCAAGCCAGACATGGCGAGGCTGAGAGAAATAGGCATGTTTGGCTTGCAGAAGAGTTGACCTAATAGCAGTCTTTAAATATCTGAGGAGCTACCTTAAAGAAGAGTAAAAACACCTTTTCTCCTTTATTGCCAAAGATTTGTAGTAATGTCTTGAAATTACAACAAAGTAGGTTTCTACTGGATAGCAGGAAAAACTTCGACTGTTAGACCAGCGAGGCAGTGCAGGAGACTGCCTGGGGGAATCATGGCATCTCCTTTCCTGGAGGTTTCCAGTAAGAGGCTGGACAAGCAGTGGCCAGCAATGATTCAGGAGTAGCAATACTGGAGGGGACCGTGAAGAGCAACAGTTGGAGACCAAGAGCCCCCCACATCTCATGCATGGGAAATTGGAGAAGACAACCTCAGCAGGACAAGAATGAAGCAGAGCTCTCCAATTAGCTTAGTTCCAAAAAAAGATTAGAGGAACCAGGGTAAGGAGACAGGACGACAGAGAGGGGAGTTCTAGCTCTCCAGTTAAGCTATGTGATGTATGGAGTGGTGGTTGTTGACCCCAGGTTGAAAGGCATCTGGTTTTCCCGTGCTTCTGGGCTTTACTGGTTGCCACACAGGTATAGAAAGGAATATTACCCCTTCCTTTTGCTCCAGGTGTCTATGTTTGTTCACTTTTTTCAAAAGCTTTGGGTATTGGCTGCAGCTAAGGCTTGGGATTTTGACCGTGGCCTGACCCTTCTGCTGGGGGTTAAAGAAACCCAATGTTTCTTGGCTACAGCATCTTGCTTCTCTGCTCAGGGTCAGGCTGACTGCCACACTTAGCATCAGAAAGGAATTATACCTCCATAGTTCAACTAGCACAAAGTTTTGTCTTCCTCTGTAGCAAGAGACAGTCCTCGCCCTTGGATCTCTCGAGCACATTTTAACAAAACTGCTTCCTGCATTTGGAGTAGCAGGACCATTTAGTGTCCTCATCCCCCTCTGCTTTACCAGTGCTAAGTGAGGGTGTTCTTAATGTTTGCAAGGCGCTGTGCCTGGCAGGGATGTTGGCTTAGACAGCAAAGATCCTGCCTTGAGCAGGGGACTGAACTAGGTGCGCTCCCAAGGTCCCCTCCAGCTCTGTTTTTCTATGATTCTAGCTACAGAGAATTAGCAGGTCCCAAGGACCATCAGGTGTGGGTGCTCAGCACAAGTTGAGATGAGCTGTCAAAATCAGAGCTCAACTTACAGGTCTTAAGGCAATTCCACTTCTCGATGTTACTGTTCCCAGGCACTGCTCAAAAAGCATGCAACACTGTGATTCTACAGAGGAAAGGATGTTACCAGATGCAAAGGCAGACACCTCAGCAATACATACGTCATCCATCTCCTGAAGTAGCCCAGGTCAGATTTCACACAGTTTAATAACCCAACCCCAGTTTTCTTTCCCAAAAGTGTACATCCATTTACTAGTCCATGACGGGGTAAGAAAAGCCACAGGGGGGGGTAGCCCTGATGGATGCCAAGTTCCTTCTATTTTGTTGTAGCTGGTGGGAGCATAGGGTGCCCAGCAGCTTGCCAGAATTGGCCCAGTATTGGTTACACCCCCCACAAGTAGTTGGGGGGGGGGGACTTGGCCTCTCAAATCTCTTTGCCTCTCTCCTGTGCCTTTGTGTTTTATAGAAGGTGAAGCGTAAGGGTATAAAAAGCTGAAAACAGTTCCTACCTCTAGAGACCAGGCATTTACTGGAAGAAAGAAAGACCAATTGCTTCCCAGAGCATTGTCTACCCACATTAGAGAGAGGATTAAGCAGATACATTCAGCTATTCTAACAGATTTTCTTTAAGCCTTGAATACCCCTCTCACACTCACTCAGATAATCACATTAGTTTTGTCATTAAAAGATCCCTTTTATAGAAAGTACCTAAACCGCTTAAACCACCCAGAGAGGTTGCATACATTAGAAAACAACAAGACAAACGGAAGGGATTTGCTATTCCCCGTCTCAGTGTTTCACTGCACCTTCTTTCTAAATGCAGGAGATTGAACTAAGAGATTTTTCAAATGATCAGCAAAGGAGGGCTTTCTGCCCTAGTCCAGCTAAGCGTGCAAAAGCCCACTGGCACCAAAGTGCTATGAAGTTCCACATGACGGAGCATCTAGGTAGACTCCTGTCCGAGGTGCACTTGCTCCCCACTGAGGAAACACCCTGTATAACACAAAGAGGCTTAAGGCAAGTAAATTTAAAACTTATGGAGACATCTGGAGGCCCATCTGCCATATAAAAGCAACAGGAACCAATTCTGGGCTCGCCCTGTGGGGTTAAGAGGAAGTGTTCTTTAGACTTGTCCAATTTGAAATGAAATTGGAGAATTCCTAGCATCTGAGAAGTTTGAAATTTTGATTTTGCTAAAGGATTTTTTACCTTCCTACTCATATGCTCCAAACCCAGAAATGCTCCAATGACACTCCAAAATGTCCCTCTGCAGCACTCACATTTTTGATCTCCACTCTTTCAGAGCTGCTTTTAGAGACCATTCCAGAGCAGCCTCACCAGCGCATTTCCTGGTTTGTAACTTTTCAGTGGGACTGACTGGGTGAAGTGAACTTGGTAACAACCCATCCAGGGCAGGTTACCTCCTTGAAGTAGATAAACCTAAGTGCCTCCCTCTTCAGTTTGCAAGTCCCAAGTGCATGTAGTTCTGGGGTAGTCACAAAAACTGTCCAAGCATCAGTAAACAGGCACCAAGCTGCCTCCAGAATCCAGGCAGAGCAAGGTCCTGTACCAGTAGCCTTATTCAGAGCATGCTTCATACACCAGGCCCCTCATAATAGTTATCCACTTCCCTTTTTAAAACAGGGTCAGAGATGCAACCACCAGGGCTCATGTCTTAGGACATTTCCCCAGGAAATAGAAGACCCAGGTTAAATGCCCTCCAAAACCACACCACACAGAAAACGCACTAACCACTGAGCTACGTGAGAAGGGTGGAGGGTGCTCTGTTCCCAACTTTCTTGTGAGCTGTCATGCAGGTGGCCATGTTTAAGGGGTCAAGCAAAGGGGAGAGCACAAGAAAGCAAGCACACAAGCAGGGCATTTACCAGGGGAGGTAAGTCTTGTATTTCAGATTGCTCCTGTTTTTTCCCCTAATGATTGTTTAACATACAATGCATAAACAAGCTGGAGAAGTGTTTTAACCACTACACCATCCTATGAAGATCAACAGCAGGGTCACCCAAGCTCAATCAATCAATCAATAGGTGCTGAGAATCATGCGTTGGACCTGGACCTTATTTGACTAAGGATCTCCTAGCCTATAGGATAGAGCTTAATGGAGTTACTTGCCCTGTTTGTTGGGCACTACCTAAAAAAGTTAACACAGGAGCATTCACTCTGACTTTCAAGAAAGAAATGTACTGCCACCACCAAGTCAAAATGCCCTCTGGACAAGGGTCGATTTCATGGGCTTTAGCATTGATTTTTTTTAAGAGCTCTCAAGGGAAAACTTGATTTGCAGTGCATGTTTTACTCACAGATGTCTGGTTGGCCAGGTCTTCCTTGCATTATTTGTTGGAGGACCTGACCTTTGACAGGGCTTCAAATTCTCCTGGATTCTTCTGCATTGGTGGATTCAATCTTTTTTTAAACGGACCTACTCATTACAGGCAAGATTTTCACTGGTGTAAACAGGAGTTAGACTTCCAGTGAGATATGAGCACTGAACTTCCCTTTAAAAACCTTCCCCTGCAATCTTAGACTCTTGCACTGCTTCACTGTCTCGTCTTTAATGTTAAGCCAAAGTTTCAAGGACTTGGTTTCCAAGCATAGTAAGCAAGCCAAGATAGATCCTCCTCCAGGTATAGTTAAATATTTTGGTACCTCTTCGATGATGCCTGCAAGACTAGCTTAGACATCCCAGTTTAAAAGTAAATAATCACAGTATGATATAGGTAGCAGCTGCACAATTTTTCTTTTAGTGCCCTGCAGGCCTTGCCTGCCTGATTGAGCATATAGGTGACAGCATTTCCTTTCTCCATGGCCTAGTCAAACCTTTGCTTGTTGGGCGAGTCAGTGCCAAGGAGGTTAGCAGTTTCCACAAAGCTTGCCTGTCCAGATAATTACATGGCTCTCATCACTGTTTTGTAAGGACTGGGACCGAGACCATAAAAAAAAAAATATCAGATTGTCATTTTTTGGAAGTTACCATCCTAGGATATAGTCAAACCAGCAACCTAGAAAAGAAAGTTTATTTCCTCATAACCAACCCACCCAACCAGATAATCATAACTCTTGTTTGCAGTTAGAGAACAGAGTTTAACTAGACACTGTGGACATTGTGAAAGTGATAATTACATATTTGCACACTTAATTCAACCTTCCCCATTGATGGCTCAGGCATAGATTAAACAACTTCATTTTAGAAACGTTGAAAACACCAAAAATCTACCCAATACCAACAGTCCATTGATCTCTATATGTGAAACAAACCATATCCAGAACTTCATATTCATTTATTTATAACATGTTGCAGTACATTTTTTAAAGTTACAATATGGATTTCAATTTCCATAAGATTCATATTTACTGGTCTTCCAAAGAATCTCATTACTCTTCAAGTAAAACTTTTAATTCTTTGTCTGTTGCATTTCTCCACCCACAAAAGGCAACACACCTTAAAATAAAAAGAACTCACAGCACAGAGGACAAAATTGAATGCGTGATGCTAAGAATATCTTGGGTGATGTGAGTAGTATGAGACATGGACCTATCGTGACACTGGGGATAAAGTGAATGATCTTATTATGGCACTTGATCATCTAACCTGCATGCCACAGCAGGAAAAGTTACATTTCAAAATGAGGTAGCTAATTATTGATGAAGGTCATTCCCTAATGCATGAAAGTTCAGATGAGGTCTAAAAGGCTTTTCAAAAAGGAAGAGGTAGAGAGGGTTGTCTATTAGTCTGAAGGCCAAAAAGAAAAAAAAACAGCAAAAAAGATCCAACAAAAGCCAAAAAAACCACTAATGTGATAAAGATCTGAGATCTAAAGCTCAGGGGAGTCAATGGGAGGGTCCCCAATACTACAGCAACAGAACGTCACAGAGAAAGACAAGTTCTCTCTTCTGAAGCAAGAGGCAAGCCCTGCACAAGCCCAAGGGTGGAGATACAGGTGAGTTATTAGAAAAAAAAAATCTTTTTTTTGTTATCATTTGAATAAAGGCAATTTTTCAAAGGGGAATGGTTTCAGGAATGTTTCAAGAAATTTTTCCAGAAAGGGGGGTGGGGGCCAGGTATAAAGATTCATAGAAGAGTACAGCTGGAAAGGACCTCCAGAGGTCATCTAGTCCAACCCCCTGCTCAAGGAAAAAAAGAAACCCACCTAAACCCTAGGCACATTTCCCTAATCTAATCTTTAGAAAAATCACAAAACAAGCCTCTCACACAACTACCAGAGAACACCCAAAATATCAAAACACAACCTAAACTTGCCGCAGGTAACACAGGGAGATGCAGGCTGTTAGAGGAAAAAAAAAAAGTGTCCTGCCACTGAAAGGACAGTCTTCATTATATTCAAGAGATTTTTCTTTTCGTCCTTCCCCCACCCTTTTACATTTCCCTCATCTTCCAAATACAAAAGTTATTAAACATTAGATTCAGAGGGAAAACAATTTTTTTTGAAAAATTTATACTCAAATGTCTTCCAGACTCATTTAACCACCTCTAGATCCAACAAATGGAAGTCTTCTGCTTTCCTGGAGAGACCATGTGCCCACTACTGGAAGGACACTATGACATAACCTACAATGGTGGCTACTTGGGAACTATAATAACGCTCCTCCTGCATAACCCACAATCTCTTTGTATAATCGTTGAACTCTGTACTGAGCCCACAGCACTCAATGGAAGAGGCTGGATGAGGCCACTATTTTCTCTCCGTTATGACTACTGTGTATTCTAAGTGTTTATACTTGCTCTGCAAATCCCCTTCTTGGCTCTCCAATTAACGTGTTAATTAGAAGCCTACATATACCCATAGGCTATTGATAGCACTTCAGGTTTAACTTTCTTTTCCTGCAGTGGTTGTAGGAAGCGTCCATTTCTTGTCTGATCAAAAAGCTAAAAACACTGTATAGCATGACAAAACAGAGGCCATGGTTCTATTGTAGATGTGCACACACACACAGATACTAGGAACACATTTGCATCCCAGTGCTAGAAAATGGCCCTATTTGAATGGAGATTACCAACAGCTGACAGATTTCAGTGGAGCTCTAAAAAGCTCTTCCCCTTCCTCTCAGATTCTTCCCTGGCTTTACTCTATAGTCTCCAAAGTGATTACCTGCTAAAGAAAGAGCATGAAAGTTCCAGACTGCTGAACCTGAACATAGAGGCCTCCTTGTTCAAAGCAACCTTTCCTAGAACACTGGAGCAAAACAGGGATAAGCCAGGAGTTCCACCAACAAGAGGAACCAGATTTACTGAAGTGTAAAAAAAGTTCAGAATGAGGCACACTTTGTTCCCAGAAAGCGGTAGATAGAGACAGAACTGGAGGAAAAAAAATAAATAAATAAAAAGCACACTGTAGGAGGCATAGCAGCAAAAAAGAGCTGAGAAACTGGAACTGGGATGTTAAAAGACTTGGGTTATGCATGGTGTTCAGCTCATCTGGAAAGGATGGCCTAGCCTTATTAGCCTATGGAAGAAGGGTTTTAGAATGGATTGGAGCTGAAGCTGGAAAATGAAGGGACTTGCCTCAGTCATTTATTAATATCAACTATACACAGTCTCCATGACTAGTGGCTGGTTGACTCTTTTAGAAGAGTTACAAAAAGCCTGGAGTGCACCTGGCCTGCTGAGCACAGCCTCTCGCTTTCAGGCTAATACTCTCCCAACAGGAGAGCTCTATTCTGTGTTCCAAATTGTTTGTCCTGCAAACAATTTTAAAGGCTTTTATTACAGCACCAGTTACCAGACCATGCAGAATCTCATCAATAGATAGAAAAGGAAAAAGAAAACAAGGCACAACCTCAATTATTTGTTCTCTTCAAGAGTGACAATCTGGAGTTGCCCAGTGCTGCCCTGGAAAAACTAAGTATTTGTAAGACAGCAACACGAGAGGGGATGAAAATACCCATGATTTCTCTAACACTACCAAAGTTGCTGGTATCATAGGGGTAAGAGAAGCAGCAGGGAAGGAAGAACAAAAACAGAAGTTATACCCAGCCAGACATTCAAAGAATTAAAAAAAAAAAAATCTGCTTTGAAATGAGCAGAAAGGAAAAAAAAAGTCACACATGACAAATTTTGGTTAACAAACTGTTGAAAACCATGAAAAAAATTGTACACTTATTTTGGCAGAGTCCCAAAGTTTGGCTTAAAAATAACCAACTTTTTCCCATGAACCAATATCCCAATGTAGTTTTGTTCCCTCTCCAAAGTTACTGCATTCCACACCCCAAATTTAAGCTTGTGTAGTTTATACACCAG